AATAATAAAGTTAGGTAAAAATGACGACGATTTTGCGAAAATTATTTTTTTTCCGGGAATTCCAGTGCCATTTTTATTCCATTTAACCGACTTCGTATTTCTCCCTGTAGTGGGACTTTGAAACAGCCGGTATATATTCTGAACGAATACAGGCAATACTTCAAGTGAAAATAGGAAATATAGGAATACTCAACCGGTCTATTTTATCCTAAGTTGCCGACCAAAGCGCTGTTGAATTTAGGCGGGCAGAGCGAGGTTATTGACCCCTATGTTTTGAGGGATGAAATTCAGAGGAAAAGGGGCTACGAAGAAAAAGGAAGTGGGGCTGTTGAATAAAATATCCCCTCGGTTAGGTAAAAATCACGCGATGCGCTCCATGACAGCACCATTGGCAAGAGATTTTCAGCTTATAGTGAAAATAAACTTTTATTATCAGCATTTTGAAATATTTGTCACGCGGAGGTACATTTTAATTTTGACGTGGTATAGTGGACAAACACCTTAAGCCATATAACTCAGCGGGAACTATTAGAAAACTGACCCTTGACCCCCTAGCAATCAAGTAAAGGATGTGACTGGATGTAGGCATGGGAAAGAATTCACCCCATGTCCAAACAAGACACAATGAGTAGAAACCTCAGCACAGTCACAGGGCCTGAAAGAGCACCTGAGCAAAATAAGGCTGTACGATGGAGACCTTAGCTGCAGGGAATGCTGAAGAGGAACATAATCACCCCTACATACCTTATGTGAGTGCGAGGTGTGAAAAATCCCTAGCAACCAAAAAATTATCTAGTTTAATCTTTTGCGGCCAGATTTATCTTTTTATTGTGAAATCGGTTAACTTGTATTATAGATACATTGACTGGGCACTACCATTGATTTCTGTTAATTGAGTACTGTTAATCAATGGTACTACTGAATATAAAATGAGCCTTCAATAGAGTATCTTACCACCATCAGTACACAGCTGGTCATCATAATTAGTATAAATGGCAACATTGACTTTATGATGCCTACCTAAAGGAGACATTGGACCTGTAACTTTTCTCCCTTGTTTGTCAAACGACACAAATCACCCACCATTCCATATCCTCATCAAGCCGTTCTGCCATTCACACTCCTTATGATGCCCCAGCTGTGTAATACTCATTAATATTCTGTATATGGTTATTCTGGAGGATATGCTTTTCCCAGGAAACTAGCGACCAGTTACGATATACCAAAAGTGTCAAGAGTCACCAAGGTGAAAATGTATTATAATAGTAGATTGTTGTTAAGTTCGAATAACAGAGCAGCTAACAGGTCTCATTATTTGTAATGGAGTGCTCTTAGGTTTTTCTTGGAAGTCGGTTCTAATAAATGGATTTTTGAGATTTTTAGTGCAATACATCTAAAATATCGAATATTCAAAAGTCGTTAATTTTGATGATGATTTTCACCTTTTGAAATCTTGTTTTAATCTCATTTTTATGATGCACCAACTCATAGATCTGAGTAAACTGGGCATAAAATTTCTTGTCACCTTACGTATTTTAGGACTTCCTTACTGACAAAGAGATATAAGGTGTTCAAATTCATTTCTTCTAATACGGATATTTTTTATTTTTCTCAAATTACCTGAACGATCTAGATAAAATTCTGGGGATCGACGGCAGGTATTAAGGGACAACCTTTGCTGTGCTTCAAAGTCGCATATCGCATCCTGACAGTTTCCATGAGGTGCGTGTGTCTATACTTGCTGTTCTCAACGTTGATCTATTTCGTTGACTACCATTCTATTGCTGATAAGAAGCCGAAATCATAGGCAACCATTAGTTATCATGGTAACGACAGGGTATCATTAGAAGAGCAGAAAATACTTAAAGTTATGTTTCTTTGTCCAGCAGGTTATAATTTATTTTTTTCTTAATTCTCCACTTCGAGTGCTCTGTGATCTGCTAATGTTCAATTAGGTAAATATTGGTATGTGATATTGAACGATAAGAATCTATAATAGGTATTTAATGGAACAATTACTGATAAAATGTTATCCAATCATGATCTGAGGTTATTGACGCTGATGAAATCTAATGACTCGAATTTTAAGCAATAATATAAGATGGGAAGTATTCAAATTTGAAAATTCGGTATATTTGATTAAGTGTTTTAGCTTCACGATACTATTACTTGCGAGAAAGTATTGTAATCGCGAAAAAAATCTAAAATGAGTTTTTATATTTTTTGGATGTTATATGACATGCACATCACGAAAAACCCTGCCACTCATTTAGATGACACTAGGTGAACTTTCTACAGAATGTTACTACTGTGCCAAGGTCGAAAAAGATTCGTATTTTTTGGAAATCAGTCAATTGGCGTTGGACATACGGGGCAAAAACGGAAAAAAAATAGAAATCGCACAAATTTTGCTTTTTGAGATTTCAGAGCCTCCTGATCATTTTCAAAAAATGTGTAGCTGTTGGAGTTGTAGCGGGTGGGGAAGGGTATACGTATATTTAAGTTTTTTGATGTTAGTATATTTATACGCTCCCAACCCGGTAATTCTACGCAACTATTAGACATATTTGAATGACAGAGAAATGTTTTATATACGTGTCTCTGCTTCTACTTGTTATGTTCACCTGCGGAAGTCCCAGTCTCGATAAGTGTCCTATCATTACTGCCGCAGTTCCGCGTCTGACGAGTCGTGTGGTCCGGTATGGGGGAAAGGCGACGCTACCAGTAGGGCAGTGAGATGATGTTTACATGGGCCTGTTTGACTAACTTGATCCGATTAATTTCTCTGCTATACATATTCCTAACTAACTCTCCTCTCACAGGGTTTAACCTGTGGTGAACATAATCCTTTATGAACTGATGACGGCGTTGCGTGGGATGTGCAGAGACAAACTACTTGACGCCATTTTTTAGCTTCGTCAATAATAGCAACTTGAGGGAGGTCGATACGCTATATATTTACTATTTTTCCGCATCTCTCTTATTGTATTTTGAATTTGATATTTGCAGCAGGCATCATCTTCGTTAATATTTTTTATATGAACTGCAGCCGCCTTAGTATCCGAAATTAGCACTACTCGTTATAACCGCTTATCACAGGAGTAAATAAAGAAATGGTGTTGTGCAAAGACTGCATAACAGTCCACAGCAAATATTATCAAGCTCAGGTTGGCATAACCTTGTGAGAAGTTATAAAATACAACGTGATAATAACAAAAGCACACGTTAGGCATATACGCGTAGATGGATGCAACAAAAATTTTTAACTGAGGTCAATTGAATATGCCGCCCCAGTGACCTTAAGCAAATTGAAAAGACTACGTTTTAATATAATACATTGCATACGCAAAGCACAGGCACACATAAAAAAGGCGCCAAGTAGGTTAACTCTGCAATTTCCATGCAACAAACTAGACTAAAGTTAGTACCTAACCTGGTCACACGTGGCAGCGCGGCCACAGCCTAGGAAACACTATGCTGTGGCGCGGCAGTAATACGAGTAATACCAGAATACTTACCAAAGCCAGTGGCACGCCGAGAACAGAAGCAAACCCAGTATGTATGTTTTAAGGGCTAATGCAATGTTAATGTATAATATGTGGGTAGAATTGCAAAGGTTGGGAGCGTACAAATATACTAACAAAAAAAATTAGATATACCCTCCCCATCTTCCTACAATTCCCACCGCCAAATTTTTTACTTCTATTTTTTTTTAATTATCAGGATCCTCTGAAACGTCAAAAAACAGAGTTTATGTGATTTTTATTTTTTTAGTTTTTAGGCTTTTTCGTCCTTGGCAAAGTAGTAACATTATGTGACAATTTCATTTAAATCCGAGCGGTACTTATCAAGTGATAGGAGTTCGTTGTATTAGCGGACATACAGACAGACTTCCTCGTCACTAGGCGTGGGAGGTAAAACTGGAGTCAAGTAAGTTGACTACGCTTCGCAAGCAACGCTGTCATTAGATCATAAACGATTATGTTCTGCACAAGTTAGCCCCTATGAGAAAAAAGTTAGTTACGAGCATGTGCAACAAAGAATAAATGCATCAACCGAACACATGCAATTAGACCATAATGTCTACGGATTTAACAACGTTGCGATCTAGAAATGTCTCCCCTGAGATACCGACAGTACTGACCATTTGGCAACGTTGCTATGACTAACCTCGGTCAGGCCTTGATGGAGATACATCCTCCTTTGTTGTGTTGAAAGTATTTCTCTATTATTCTAAGTTTTCAGGGAAAAATATACTGGAAAATGTATGATGTGTGAAACATGCCTAATACGTGCATGGAACTACTGGGATTCGAAGCATACAAATATACTAACGGTGAAACAATGAGATAGATATACTTTCTCCCATCCCCCAATACAACCACAAACCCTCGATTTTTAACCGCTACAAATTATTTTTAGAAAATGTGTAAAGCCTCTGAAATGTCAAAAAACGAAGTTTAGTGCGATTTTCATTTTTTTCGTTTCTTTTTACTGTAACACCGCCGCCACTGGATCCATTTTCAAAAACCGTATTTTATGCTTTTTCATCCTTGGCATAGTAGTAACCATAATTAGCCAAACAGGTTCAGTGCATTTGATATTGGATTATTGATTGCTTTTGAACTTCTCTTCCATACACACAAATACTCACGAAAGGCTACCGAGCTTTTTGCCCAATACCGTAAAACATCTATACATTATGTACAATTAGTTCTTTCCAGTTAGGAACGTCCTTTGCTTAAATTCGATTCATTTTAAGTCAATATCTAGGAAAACCTCATTTGTATTGACAAAAAAAGTAAATTACTTCCTTCCGTATAAAAATAAAAAACAATAGCTACTTTCACGGACTTCTTGGGCATCGGTACGAGAGATACAAAAAACTATCGATACATCGTCCCCGTAATCCCCTTAACTTAAACCAATGTTGAAGTTTTGCATTTTTCATTTCTTTGCAGTGTTTTTTATCTTTAATCTACTCTTTTTTTATTTTCCAGAACTTTATCCAACCAAAAGTGATAGAACAAGTATCCTATGCCATTTTGGCAATAGGGATCCTGATATTCTTAGTCAGTTTCCTTGGATACTGCGGAGCTTTGAAGGAATCTCAATGTATGCTTACCACTGTAAGTATTAATAAATCCCTACGAATAATACAAATCCTACTAATAATAAATTACCTACTAATACAAATATTATGAATGAGATGTTTGTTACTCAATCACGCCAAATTTGGTACAGAGACAGATTTATTAACAATACATAGGCTACTTTTTATCTAGGGAAATAATTTGAAATATCTATTTCACGGGCTACAGCCCAAACGACTTAATGGAAATTTACATCAGCAGGGCTATTATGTAAAAAACCTAAAAAAACCCGACGAAGTGTCATCTTGCACACTAGGTAGTTTTTAGTGTGCAAATAGTTCATTTCAACGAGTTCACAACAAGCGTAAAACAGTTTGTGCTAAGTTAACATCTTGTAGAAAAACTGACGTTATGAAAATTAAAAAGTGGTGGGGGGCTTAAGCAGCGCTTCACGCCTCCACGATTCAGGGCTAGCAAGGTGATTTCAGTACCAAGTTACAGAAATTTCTATCATTTTATTGTTTGGCAGGCATTTTTCCAACGCTGTATACGTTCAATGTCCTAGAAATTTCTTAGAGTTAAAGACGCTTTTATCTAAAGAAATGAAAACAAAAATCATTGTATTTTGTGGAATAGCTGTTCTGTTATTGTGTGTGGTGTTTTTGCTCTTACTTAAATAATTACTAAGAAAATTAATTGAATTCTGACTCATTGCCGTTTATTTACTGTTATTTACTGTAGAATCAAATGATCAATTTCGAGTGATTGTTGAAAAACCACAAAAATTGAAAATCGGAAGCTACTGATTTTTGCCTATACATATATGTATATGGCGAAATCAGTTGTAATTAAGGTATTCTATCATGTCCTGGAACAAATACTACGAAATACCAGCAACGTTGTATTTATTTGTTGGCTCATATAATTCCTTATTTTTCAGTATGGCATACTGCTTATTGTCATCCTGGTATTGGAAATAGCAGCAGGAATCTTAGCAGTTGTTTATAAATCTAAGGTGAGTCGGCAGTCCAGCACTCCTTTATGTTTCATCTATTCAAAACTGCAAAACAATGGGAACATAGGTGTTTGCAATTGTAACATGGTACGAGAATTACATAACGCAAATCAGTAATTTTTAAGGCAGAAGAAAATAGTTGCAAGTTCTCATGATAATAGGAAGTCATTTTAATGTTTATGTAATAATTTGTGATTCATTTTATGTGTAATGGCTGCTGTGATTGTTAGCGATTCGAAATATCCGCAATAAATTTCATACGTCAGAATGTCAGACTGTAGGTAGAATAAACAGATTACGAGGATTTGGTTTATGACAGATTTAGCATTTGTTTGTTATATACATCCATTTTTTATCTCATATATGACTTATTAATACCAGCCGAGAAAGAAAGTGACGCTACATGATCCAAGCAAAGCAGTCAAATCCAAATAAGACCGTTAGTGTACGAAAATGTGTGATAGTAAAACTGCTAAATCCAAGCAGCTGGCATTTAATCACAAATCATAAAAATTCCTAAGTGGGTTTCCACTCTGAGCTGACGAAATGTAAGATTTTTGTGGTTAAGAGGTTACACCTAGAAACCTCGATTACCATACTTTGCGCGTAGCGTACTTCAGCACGTTCCATAGTTACATTACATATGGCACAAAGCTCTGGGGAAACTCAGTAGCATCTAACAAAATTTTCATTTTACAAAAAATGGCTTTGAGGATAATTGCAAATTCCAGTTATCGATCAACGTGCAGAAATCACTTAAAAAATTTACAAATATTACCACTTCCATCAATTCATATTTTTGGAGTCCTATGTTATGTGCACAGAAATCTAAGCAAATATCAAACCTCTGAAGAACTACTCACTCATGCACTACGTAATGTTAACTACCTACCTAAAGAATCCATACTCGCGACTTAATATGCCTAAAAATAATATACCTAACGTTAAATTATATAATTCCTTATAGTCAATGCAAATAAAGGACATAATTTTGGAAATATGTCTAATCGCTACTTCTTAAATTCCGTTCGGTTCATGAGTACGTTAATGGATGACGTTACTCGGATAGATAATAAATTATTTGTAAAACAGTACATTGTATATACATAATGTGGTCAATAAATGGTATGGTATAACCTACAACTCAATGGCCGAACTACTTCCGTCTAAAGATATTTCTGTAATACACACCTTCCTCTAAAGTAAATGTTAGAAGTACCGTGTAATATATCCAAAATAGTTTTTAAAATTCTGAAGGTTTAATGTTTGCGATTCTATTACTTCCTTCTTTACTATTGGAAAGGATACGAATAAAAAGTAATCTTAAACTTATTCAATGGAGTCGTAATAATTTGTGTGCCTATTTCATAAATATAAATCGCCCATGTGCAGGTGGAAACAGAAACAAAAGATGTACTGATTACTTCCTTGAGTCACTACAAGCCTACGACTGAAGAAACGGATGCTGTCACTCAAGCGTGGGACCAGTTGCAGATGAATCTGCATTGCTGTGGAGTCAACAATTACAGTGATTATGCTGGCAACCAGGTAGGAACAATTTCTGATCAATAACTTGTTGAACACGTCAACCAACTATCAAATCTGACAGCCAAGTGAAACTGCTGTGAAACTGATAAAGATAGCTACTGCTATTCAGCCTAAAAAAGCTGCACCGCTGAAGCCAACGAATTGAAATAGATTAGAAAAAGCCAAGCCAAGTTACATTGCATTGTTTGTCGCCAAAATTGCATATTTTCAGTGCATACTTTTGACTCGTTTGACTAACATTGCCTACAAAAGTGGCAACGTTGTATCAACATAATAGTAATTCTTACCGGTGGAAAGATCTACCTTCACTAGGCTTGTCCGCCCTTTGCAAATTATGCAAGAAGTATTATGACGGGTACACAACACACACTCAAAAGAAAGGAAATCGGACTTTATTTCCATACGTCGATATTAGATTTGTTCCAACCTTCAGTCTTGGTATCGTACCAGAACCATTCGGATATAATTTGGTACACTTTACTACGCATGCGCTGACTGTTCATAATTCCAGAATTGTTTCTGGGTTGTAAGGGGGTTGGAACGATTTTGGAATCGTTTTTGTAATTAGGAAGTGACAGCCCCTTCGTCACTACTCATCACAATGGAAGCTACAGAATATCAATAAATTATCTTTAGGCAGAAAATACACAGGCTACCAGAGCACCGTTACAGTTTGGGTGAAGGTAAAAGGCAATCGCCTGACAACAGATCTGCTGCGTAGCTCAGTTCTTTTAGTTCCCTTTTCAATGCAGGTACCGCGTTCACTGTAACAAAAACCGCTGCGGAATGATCACAACATTGGTTCGAACGAAATGCAGAACTGTCCCGGTACGATACAGAATATGTTGGAACAATTTTTCCTAAATGCGCATGCACGTCACCGTTATAGAACGGCACATTGTTGGTTGCATATGTTTTCTGAAGCCGACTAGTCTGTAGTTTTCATCTTTGAGAAAACATCACCCAAATTTATTTGCTGCCTTTATCGCTCTCCCTCGGACCATAACTGTGATGACCTACTTGAATACCTCGCCGTCAAGATCGACTTCCTGAACATCCATCACCCCGCTTCAGAGGTAGTTCTTCTCGGTGAATTCCGGTTGGGCTCAAACAAGACCGATGCAGCAGGTTGTGCAGTCGAAGCGTTCGCTCTTACTCAAGGGCTGACCCAGCTGATGACGGGCCCTACTTTTTTTGCCCCGCGTAGTATGCCAGTATCCTGCTGGATCTCTTTCTGACCACGCATCCTGTCCCTTACAGCACTGTTGTCCTGTCCCCCCTGGGTAACTCAGACCACGGTGCTGTGGAGGTTAGGTTTCGGTCAGAATCCGCTGTGGCAGCGGAAACTCGTACAGGCCGCAAAACTTGGCATTACGGACATGCCGACAAATATAACGAAGAGGTTCGCAATGCCAAAAACCAGCACGGGGTAATGTCGCAGCGCAATGGCAGTCGGTCTTTCTGGACGCTTGTCAAGCAGATTGAAAAGGATTTCTCACACAGTAGCCTTCCACCACTTACGTGTCAGGATGGAACGATCGTATTCGACTCAAAGGTCAAGACGGAAGTGCTAGTCAAGATCTTTGCTGCCAACTCCACCATGGACGTCCTCCCCAACGCCCAAGTGCCGTCAATTTAAAGGGTTTCCTACACTATGCTTGAGGTAACATTCCGGCATAAGACCGTAAGACGAGTGCTATTGTCGCTCGACATCAACAAAGCTTCTGGTCCGGACTTGATTCCTGCCATTGTACTGAAGAGGTGTGCAGGGGAGCTTGCTCCAGTTCTTTCGCGTCTCTTCCAGATATCTTATGAATCCGGCACCTTCTCAGAAAACTGGAAATTTGCTCATGTCCAACCCATCCCAAAAAAGGATCTAAGACCGACCCTTATAACTACTGGCCTATAGCTCTGCTTTCTGTTATAAGTAAGGTGATGGAGAGGTGCATAAATCGCGAGCTTCTGGACTACCTCGAACGTCACAGCTTGATTAGCGACAGGCAGTATGGTTTCCGGCACCAACGATCCAAAGGGGACCTCCTATCTTACGTCACTCAGTTGTGGAGTAAACTCATCCAGTCTTATGGTGAGGCTCATGTCGTTGCTCTTGACATCATGAAAGCGTTCGATCAGCTGTGGCATGCTACCCTCTTAAGCAAACTTCCATCCTATGGCCTCCCAGAAAAGCTTTGCAGATGGGTAACTGACTTTTATCTCTGGCCGCAAGATATCCGTCGTAATTGACGGGTTCTCCTCTTCATCCCACAACGTCAACCCGGGTGTTCCCCAGGGATCGGTCTTGGCTCCGACACTGTTTCTCTTCCATATCAACGACCTTCTTTCCTGCAAGATCAACTCAATACACAGCTTCGCTGATGATAGCACTCTACATGCAGGAATTCAGAGTGACAAGCCAATCTCTGCCGCTGAGCTGGAAAAAAGAAGACTAGCGACGACTTCCTCTCTGACAAGAGACCTGGAGGCTATCACTGCTTGAGGACGCAACAATCTTGTACAGTTCAATGCTTCCAAAACACAGCACTGTACGTTGACGAACAAAAAGCGTCGTAGCGCTCATCCGGTATCGATGCTGCTGCTAGGAAAAAGCTAGGCTATTTGTTTAGGGCTAAGAAGTACTTTTCTCGAGTCGAGTATTGCTCACACGTTTGGGGTGCTGCCGCCTCGACTACATTATCCATGCTCGGCGCTGTCCAGAGGAGGGCGGTCCGACTGATCGATTACTCTTCTCTAACAAACAGTCTCGGGACTCTTTCGCACCGGCGGCCGTCGACGATCTAGCTCTTTTCTACCGCTTCACCAACGGGCTTTGCTCCTCAGAGCTCTCTTCCATTATGCCGCCTGACTTTGGCGTCCCATCCTAACCGCGTCGAACTTCGTACATCCAGAACTGGCCGCTACGACCGCTTCTTTGCCCCGAGGGTGTCGAGATTATGGACCAATCTACAAGAGGAAGCTTTTCCCAGTTCTACTAACCTTAGGCAGTTCAAAAATCGTATTAACAAAAGTTCTTTGGGATCATCATAGCAGCCGCAGTGCTCCGGCATTTAGGCTTCTGCCTGCGCGGCTGCTTCGATATATATATATATATATATATATATATATATATATATAAAACCAGCATGGGTATCATGTGAAAACGTTTCCTCACTAGGATCGTTGTGAACCTCCATCTAAGAAGGAGTCACTCTTACTACACGCATTATTGTTTGTATATATTTTGTGAGGCCAAATAATGGTCCTTGACTGTAGTTTTTATCTCTGAGAAGAAAGTTGGTTGAATAGCAAGATCGCATCTGGATGATTATGTGTATTGGTCTGCATGTATATAAAGTCAGTGATATTTGCTGTGTGAGAAAGTTATTACTGAATATGCTGCCAGAGAAGTATAAATCTTTTAGCTGTGCCCGACGGGTTATTTATATCTTGTCCTTTCTGAGGACAGGTTATGTTCAAAATTATAAATTACGATTATTTCTATTTTTTGTATTTTTAAAAACTACGAGAAAACGCCTCCGCGCCTGCGTTGTGTGCAATTAAGCCACATCACAGAAAAATTAGTAATGACGAATCACACGTCAAATATTTTCGCAATGCCTCACATCTAGGCGCTGATTTGTATTTTTTTTTTGATATCACAAAATAAATTTCTATAAAATTTAAATGACTGGAAATAACAAATAATGCAATTAACCTTTTCACTTTTACACATATTCCTGTCTGTAGCATATTTTCTCACCTGTTCCTTCACCAATCAGGAATTTTAAGAAATTCCGCAAATTTGCATAAGTAATTTCCAGAATGAATAGGAAAAAGTGGATGCACAACTAATTTCTAGCTTTGAATCTCAATTAAGTATATTTGAGACAAGAATCCAATGGAATTTTCATCAACACATATTTTTATTAGCACACAAATCCTCACTATGCACCTATGCATTGCCGTTTCCTTCTAGCTATAATATACAGCCTATACCTCCAACAATGCCATCTCTGAAGCAGATTCTGCATCACATCAGAGCCTAACATTGATAATTGAAGCATCATGACGTCTAGGCAACACGTATAAATACAAAACGAGTTCACAAGTATCCATTAGCTAGTGCTAAGTTAATATCTTGTAGAAAAACCTACATAATGTCACAAACAACCAATACCACGTGAACAAAAAATCGACAATATCTCTTTTCATGATACGTAATACCCGTGCCGTTCTCCGACCGGCTGGAACAAGACTATAATATTCATGGTAACATGCTGTATATATCACTGAAAGTAATCATTATTTTTACAGGATCTAAGAAATGCAAGTAGGCTGGTACCTGAATCATGCTGTATATTGAAGGAAGACAAAACGCCAGTGTCAGATACCTGTACTACATCACCAAATGATTCGAACTCATATTTTAACAAGGTAAAATTAACGTCATTTTATTTTTATCTTAATTCACAGCTGTTCCACGTAGAATCGTAGCGACCGATTGGTCAACAGGTTGACCTAAGATAGTTATAAAAATGTGGATTTATAGTAAAACTGATGTATGCGAGCAATTGCGCCAAAATATTTCCAAAATGGTAGCACTTCCTGTTGTACCGGAAGTAGGTACCAGCTTCTTTATTTTAAATAGCATACCCTGCATATTATAGAATTTTTGAATTCTATGCGATGTTCTAAATACCATCCGATACCAAAATTTTAACCGTTTTTGAGATATCTCAAATTTTGCCTAAAAATGACAAATGCAGGCAATGAAATATGACGATTTTTTCTGTTATGTTTGCCTCTGAGATATGAATTCTGGCGGGTTTATAATAGTAGTATTGTTGTACTTTGGTAGATTTTATTCCGCATTAGGATAATAAAAAACAAAAAAAAGAGAAAGAAAACAAGATTTTAGAAAAACCAGCCATTTTTTCAAATGGAAACCGCCTTTTTGTAATGTCACCGTAACAAGCATTGAAAATCGGTTTCCGAAGAGTGGTGTTATCTGTCGTTAAGTTTTCTGATCCAATCCTTCTTACGATGTTTGAGAGATTTGTTATTGAAGTACCTTATGATACACTCTTTGAAATGCTCTGTTCCAGGGTTGTTACAGTTCCGTGGTAAGCCTGCTCAGGAACAACTTGGAGATAGTGATAGGCATTGCGGCAGGCCTAGCAATCATCGAAATCCTGGGCATATTTTTGTCCTTTTGCCTGGCGAAGAACATCACAGATTACGAACACAGATGAAAAACTATAAAAGAATTAGTTTTGAGGGACCAAAACAAAACGAGCCTGAAGGGCTGTGATATGTAACACGAAAAAATGTGGTGAAGTGGATGGACTGTCAACTGTCAGTGTAATGTTTGTACATATTATTTCTAGTCTTGATGTAAATTTTTATTATTAATAATGCATATCATACAACCAACAATGTGTTTATATACTAATGATACTCTGTAAGGACTATTTGGATGAATATATTTGGATAGTTTTGTTTACATTGCTTTAGATGTTCCCCAATAATTCAGTTTAAATACCCCTGCAGACGATCAAATGTTTAAGTATGTTTGGATAGTTGGGATACACTTGAGCGGGGTTGTACAGATACAACTACTGACGATGCTGATTGGTGAAACAAGCAATATGAGGTTGGAAAAAAATTATATTTAAAGCGTACCTTTCTATTTTCTTACTAAACTAAATCGTGTAATGCCCCGCGTATGGCCCTAAAAGTTGAATAGCTATGGAATGACATACATGTTTTGCTTGTGGACTCGATCGATAACTCCGTTATTACGCTTTGTTTCTAAAAAAGATTACAAAAATTGTATCCAACATTATACTCTTTACTTAAAAAATATGCAGAGTGATTTATAATTACGTGGTGACACAAACAAACATTTGAGGCAATGCCCCACATTTTATTGCAATTTGGATAGGTTTTTTCAAACAAAGCAATTTGATATAATTAATTATTTTGAACAACAAAAAAAAAATAACTCTCAACTTTGGCATTTCGCACCTCCGCAATTCTTGTAGCTAAAGTACTAAATTTTTCATCACAAAAATTTTATGATCTCATATTTCCCTCCTCCTTACTCACTTTTCAGTTTTTATGGACTGTTTATGTATGGCGGCCAAGAATGCAGAGTGAAGTATTTCTCAAAATGTTTAAATTAAATACCCTTTATACAGGGTGTCACAGTGGGAAAGTTCACATTTCAAATTTGATCGATGCGTTCGGCGTGTAGGTTAAATAGTCACAATGGAACGTTGGACCGGAGCGCAACGTGCTTTTGTTATCGAGGCTTACGTCATCCGCTGATCAAGAAATGCCCCAAGTAACAACCTATTGAAAAAGTGGATTAAGAGGTTCCGTGAAACAGGCTCTACTGTTAGTCGACTCATTCCTGGCCCCACACCTACCGTATCAACCGAGGAAAATGCGCGTCGAGTAAGTGTTTCGGTCATTGTAAATCCTCGGCGTTCTGTACAAAAGCATTCCGCTGCTTTGGGTATCCCTAGGTCTACACTGCATGGCATAATGAAGAAAAAAAATGAGTGTTCATCCTTAAAAAATCTAATCAGTCCATACTCTAAAGGAAAGTGATTACGTATAACGAAAATCTTGTTTTCAGTGACGATACCCATTTTCACTTAGATGGTTATGTGAACAAGCAAAATTCCAGATATTGGGCACCAACGAACCCAAAAGAAAAACATCAACAACAGCTACATAGTCCAAAGGAGACTGTTTGGTTCGGCATATCCTCTAGCGGTATTATTGGACCGTATTTCCTTGCATATGAAAACGATCATACATTGACAGTCAATTCCGAGCAATACAAAGACATGATTGACACTTTTTTTGCTCCTATTGTAAGAACAGAACGTCGATTTAGCAGAAACACATGGTTTCAACAGAATGGGGCCATTGTCCATACTTCCCGAGAATCGATGGACACGGTAAGTAAATGGTAAGACGACTTAATTTGTTATCATTTGTCAGTTCATGTGGGACCCATCTGCTTAACTTCCACGTCTCTCCTAGCTGATGAAGATGCAAACGAATAGTTTCAGGACTCACTCTGAAAATTTCTGCAAGTTCTTGGCATGTTGTCCTGAAATTTGCGTCGACAATCTGTCGAAGATCCTCGTTGTTCATGATTTTTGGTCTCCCTGAGCGCGGTTCATCGCTCAAACTGAGATCTCCCGAAGAAATTTTTTTGAACCACTTCTGTGCTGTTCGATCACTAACGCCATTTTCAATTATTAAAACTAGGTATGTAACAATGTTCAGCAACTTTTTATGTGTGTGAGAAAAGAAGGATTCATACTAAAGTGACAACAGGTAACAAACAATCGCTATCGATCAACAACATCCATGGCAGTGTGCGATATACAACAACCGCACGAACTTATTTGGTTACCTGATACTTCAACAGGTCTCCAGTTATTCTCTGAGTTATTCCTAGGTGTTCCAACTTGTACAATCTACAAGCATGTGGATATATGTCGCATTAGTCCAATGGTTGACACATTTGAGCAGGTTTGTGATGATAGTGCGACCTGGTAAGAAACCATGTTTTTTGGTTGGTACGATATTATTTTCCGTAGCAAGCTTGAGGATTTCACCAAGTATGATTTTGTCAGCTACTTAGGCAACTATGAAAGTGAGACTGATGGGACGATAGTTTTTGTGGCTGAACTATACTTTAGCGCATATCGCAAATATTTCATTTCTTATTTTAAAATGAAAGATTGGGATGTAACTTGCACGAAAATATCATTTCAGTATGTATTACTTGTTTACAGCCAATTTGGATTTCTTTTCTCTACCTTCGGAGAAAATACCACACTGTCAGGTATTTAAAAACTATTTCATATAGCCTGATGTTCTCTCAGTGATAGGGGAGCCCGGGGCTAGCTGTCACAATTTTCAGTAATTCTTTTTTTTATTCGATCTGAAGCGTTATATGCACATATTTGGTGCATAACTAATATGGTTTATCCTTTGGGAACACTATGGAAAATCGATAAGGCTGTAAAATAATTCACAATATTAAATTAAAATGTTTCAAAATACAGAAACAAATGTGACAACTTGCCCCTTGCTGGGGCTGGATGTCACATTGCTTGGGGTTGGTTGTCACGTGTATTTTATATCATTAATAATTTATATCATACTTTTAAACATATTTATTATTACAAATAAGACATAAGACAGATTTATTATTTAGATACCAAATCTTTTTGAGAAAAAAGTAGAAGAGTTTTTTTTACAATTAGTCACTAGCGCAGTTATGACATATGTAAAGTTGGCGTCCATCAGTGCACGCATCATGAGACCAACCATTACACGATGAGCATTTCACCCATTCTTCATTTGAGGTGCTGTTAGAAAATGGTTCAAGACAAATCAAGCAAAAACATTCTTCTCCATCAGTTTAATTATCTGAACAGGACTTTTTCTGAATCAAAACGTCCCTTTTCACTGTTTCCCTGTTCCTCTTTTTCTTGTTCGAGCATTTATTTTTCTCTTTCTCCAATTCGTCTTTTACTGGAGTGTCAGTGAGTATTGCAGTCCCTCGTTTATGACGGGAAACTCGATTCATTTTTCTTGCCGATGCCTTTGGATAAGGTCTTAAACTTTCTGGAAATACTATATTTCCCGCATGCAGCCTTACTAAACTACTACAGCAGGGATCATCAAAACTAGTTTGATTAGCTGTTTTGCCCTCTCGTATATTATCTATTACTTCCTGCGTGTTAATATTTATCAGACTTACAGTTTCGTCTTCGTTCAAGATGGTTGGATTTGGCCCAACTTCCTTTTCGTTTAAGGTTTCCGGGTTTGGTCCAGTTATTGCTTCGTTCAAGATACCCGGATCTGGCCTATCAGTGACAGAGCTCGCAAGAAAGTCATCATCCGTGAAAATATCTCTGTTGTAAGGAAACACACCCGACAACCGAAATCCAGACTGTATATTTTTGGGAGTAAATACGAGGGGGTATGCAATAGAGACCACTGAAGGTATGTCGTATATAGTCATGGTCTTACCGGGATTATTTAAAATCCAAGCATCGCAGGAAGTATTTACATATTTCTTAAAAGGGTCAAGAGGTTGAAGTTTATGTGAACAGTGAGGGTAAAAAGAGAGCATGACAATGCCATTTACTTTGGCAAAATTCAGTCCTCCTATACTCAGATGTGGTCCATGGTTATCTAGTAAAAGCAGGCATGGTCTTTCCACAGTACTTTTCACATGAAGGTGAAAAAATCTAAGAAACTCCAAGAAATGTGACTCTTTCATCCAGCCTGATGGGTTTGCTGAACCTTGTGAGCCAGGAGGAGCCGAATTTAAAAAATGTGTTTTGAAATGTACCCGTGGAAAAATGAAAAAAGGAGGTATGGAATTTCCAATAGCTGATGCTGAACTTGCTAAAGTAACAAGAGTTCCTCTTTCTGATGAAACTATCGAACCAACCTGTTTGAATCCACTTCTGGCAACAACGCGGTCGAGTGTTTGGACAATTGTAATCCCAGGTTCGTCATGTTCCAGATTTCGTGAGGCTCAAATTTATATTTTTCCATAACTGAAGCTAAATTATCAAAAAATGGGTTGACGTCCGTTTTATTGAAACTACTGGCTCTTGCTAAACTATAGTTGCTTCCGGTTTGCTAATAGACAGTACGGGATGACGTTTCAGAAACGCACTAAACCAGTCAGGATCAGTTATTTTATGGAGCTTCCAATTTTCCGGCATTTTCAAGGAAATAGCATTAGCAAATTCATATGCCAGTCCACGTACTTCCTTGGTTGATAATCCAAAATAAATATCAGATGCTTTGAGTACATATTCCACTAGATGATTTTCAAGTTCAGGCTCAAATACTAAATGATTTTTGATGTAGCCAACTGAAATTGACGGCGCAACAAGTCGATCATCAAGCAATTCAGACTCTGGAATGTTCTTACAGTAAAGTACGGTAATTTACATTTATGTCAGCTGCCACTTTTCTTATCTCACTAACCTAGCAGCTCTTAAAAGTACGTCAGACGGCGCTTTGCCCTTCTCAGTCTTCCTTTTAAAATTTCGAACCATGCTTATGTAACCTGAAAATACTAAAAAAATACATTGTATAGATATACCTACGTAGAATGATGTGCAAAGCTAATCGTCTAGTGTGGGGGCTGGTTGTCACATGTGACAAGAGGACCCCGCTAATTTGAGACAACCTGCCCCACTAGATAATTAATTTTTAAGGTTAGATAACGTCACTAAATTAACAAATTCAGTCAATACTTACGTTAAGTCGTACTCGGATTATTGAAGAGCAAAATAAATTCAACAGTTCTTTTTATTATCAAATGTAGTCTTGAAAACACAAATTTTGTGGCAAACGAAAAATTTACTCAGGTTAGGCGATTTGTTTATTTTTGTGCGTGCGACCTTAATCTACCAACGACAACTTTCGTACTGAATACAAGTGTTCTGCGCGGACGCAGAAACGATGTGTAGCGCGCCAGGCAAATACATTTTGCGGAGCTGCTGAGATTTAACCATTGTAACAACCAACCCATGTGACAACCAGCCCCGGTCTCCCCTAACAGGAACAAAAGGCATATTTTTTTTCCATAAAATCGAAAATCTCGAATAACTCGAAAACCGTAAGACTTTGAACTAAGGTATTTTTGGCTTAAAAGATTCTAAATGGTCTGCCCTATCATATCCCCAAGACTTTGTATGCAAACACCCTGTATATACACATATCATCTACATCAAAACCTAGATAATCGATGTATGTATACGCGGGAGTAAACGCCCATCACTGGTTGTAATAACTCGAACCAAGCTGGACATATTTCGTAACGTGGGTAGAGAAAATTCGTATTTTGAGACTCATTCAAATTGGCAATAAAGCAAGAGCCGCAATGCCCTAAATTCTTCTGAGTAATTTGCTCCAAAAAGAGTATCTGAGGGTTAATACTCACAGCAAACTTCATATCCAAAAACTGAAAAAAATAAGTAGTACTCGTGAAAAAAAAAAACGTTTATTTCGAATCAAGCAACGTGGCCGATATATTATATTGATAGGTTTAACAGGAAATCACAAAAAGATCTCATATGAGTACACAACGATAGGAAAAAATTATAAAACAGTTATTAAAAATCTCATCGATATTAAACAGATATTTTATAACATCATTAAAACGCAGCTTAGTGCAACAAACTGCTGCTTATACAATATGTTACAACTAATACTACACAACTCAAGGGTTTGGGTTCGATAAAATGAATCATATGTCGAAACTCGCCACCAGTACCTAACAAGTATTGCTTTCCTGTATTACTTGAGATGCTTGAGCTGTGTAATTTCAGCGATACATACTGGATATACGTGCGGTATACATAAAATCGAAGTTACAATAAATCACAGTAGAGTTCACTCTACAATCTGTATGCTTGGCGCATCATCAAGTCGAAGTAGCCGTCGTTGTCTATAGACGCGCTGATCGCAGCGTAGTAATTGAAGAATTCTTCTTTGGTTACCTTAAAGAAAGAAAACACAGATAAAAAATGGTAAACGTATCCAAAGTCATGCGTAAGGAGGTGAAAATCTGACGATCTTCACCTTCAAATGGTTTGCAAAGTTGATTTTCATCCTCATCTCTTACGATCCCTACGTTTATGGTGCATAGGTAACTGCTAAATGTTCTGCGCTATGCACAGATAAATGTCGCACCACCCAGGAATAATAAATATTCAGGGAGCAAACCAGCAATGGCTTTCTCTGCATGCCCATATACCGGGTGTTTCAAATTCGACCCTCACCATTGGGATCTCGGAAACGGTAAGAAGTACGAAGTTGCTTGAATGGGAACAAAGTTGCGTATATAGGCAACTAACAAAATGACGCCCAGAAGTTTCGAAATTCAAAGGACATCCGTAGAGAAAAGGTCAAAAACTAATTTTCCCAAAATCGTTTTAGTTTTGTCCCTGCTTTATTTGTAATGGGATTTCAAAATAAATTGTACATTAACATTGCCACCTTTTCGCCTCTACAAGATGGCATAATTAGAATTTCAATATGACGTTTCGTCTCTTGAGTGTCAGAATCAACTTTATTTTTTCTTAAGGACGTCATATTGGATCTTTAATTCTGATTCAAAATATGTATAATATGCCATATATTGACATTTTCAAATCTTAGTTACTTAAAAAAACAGAATTTCCTAGGAGGCCCTGAAATTATCAGACAGTCATTTGCTTCTCATACTAGATTTATACCAAAATTATTTTAATTTTTTCATTTTTTTTAAACTCCAACCACCACAAAGGCCAAAGGCCTAAACACCCATGGGGTACCGTGAGGCTATAGGGCGATACAGGGGAAAGGGGGGACGCCACACGGACTCTCTCTCTCTCTCTCTCTCTCTGGCAACATGCACACATTCTGGCCCCGCCGGGTGGTACCTCTGCGTTCGACAGTCAGAGACCGTCTACCACCTACGACCTGACTCCTGACTTTATTTGAGTTGGGATGCCAAAATAAATGTTGTCATTGCCACTTGTCCCCTCTACAATTCGGCTTTTTTTCTTTCAACTTATATCACCATCTGTGTTTTTTCATATGGACGCTATATTGAAATTTTGTACATTTAAATGGACAGTCCTAAGTTCAGTGATGTAATTCCTTTGTTGGCCATGAATTTGCTGTTGGAACTAAAATTATAAGGTAATACAGAGAAATGGTGAAACCTGCACACAAAATGAAATTTTTATTAACGGTAATAACAATAATAATCATGAATAAGCAGAGATAAATCATAGCATATGTTCAAAATTCTGTTTTTCTGGAATAATTGACGTTAAGTGTCAATGTATGACATATACATTTTTGGAGTCAGAATTAAAATATTTATCTCATCGAAATCCAATATCGTGTCTTTAAGAAAAAATTAAGTTGATGCTGGCGGACAACAGACGTCATATTGAAATTCTAATTATGCCATCTTGTAGAGGAGAAAAAGTGGCAATCTTAATGTGTAATTTATTTTAACATTCCGATACAAATAAAGTCTAAGTGGCATTTTGTTAGGTACCTAAATACTCAACTTACTACTACGTATCTTTTAACGTTTTAGAGATCCCAATGGTGAGTGTCGAATTTGAAATACTCGGCATGCATTACTGGCCCAACTGGACATGTTAGCTTTTCGTCTCTGTAACCATGACCAACCGCAGTCAGTTCTGTTTTGTGCTTGTTAGATTCTTATCAGTGGGGTATAGGTCCAGTCTTTGATAAATGTATATATGAAAACCATTGGTAGTCTGTTTCGTGCGTCTTGACGGGTGGATGGTAATGGTGGTGCGACATAGCGCAGAACGTCGAGCAGATATGAGCCAGAGACGTAGGGGTCCTCTGTCCTTTTCATCGGGATGAACATGAAAATCAGCTTGAAAAACCATTGGTAGGTGGTGATCGTGAGATTTTCACGTACTTATACACAATGTTTTGATTTTTTCAAAAGACCATTCCTACTAGTCCCGTTGTCTCCAAGACCAGATCTGTTTCGCACTGATGAGCTGCTAACCAGCACGAAACAGAGCTGCCTGCAGTTGGTCATGGTTACAAACATGGAAAGCAAACTTGTCCCTTTCAGCTTAAGACCGTACCCTACACAGTGATCACAACCCCAAGATCGAAATCATGGTTTTTAATTTCTGGCGACGCCGACGGAATTCCCTGAATTGCCCTGAATATTGTATCTATCAAATTCTCTGTAGAAAGAAATAGTTTTGTGCGGTACTATTTCAAATATTCACAAATTCTATAAGTAATTCTAGAATTCCAATCCAAACATGTCTAGTTCTCGTACTTTTCAAATATGATCAAGTCTTGAATGAATTTGGCGTAAAGCTTCATCACCAGCTTCAGCCCTCATACCTCTAAAATGGAAATTTTGGCATTTCTACAATCTAAAGAATGCTAGCAATTGACGTCTTTTTTAATTACTATTTCTAAAATCTAAAAACTTGGAAAAAATAGTTGTTAGAGTGGATTATATACATGTTCAAAATGAAAACTGTACCTTTCCATCTTTGGTAGCGCCCGTTTCAAAGTTTTCAAGAAACTTCGTCAAAATGCCTTCTTCGGTGTCTTCTCCAGTTATGTAACGTGAAGAGTATTTCACATTATAGACATTCTTGAGATCATCTATTGTTATTTCACCATCACCAGTTTTGTCCATTTTTTTAAAGGCTTCTTCAATTACTTTCTTTCGAGTGTCGTTTAGTGGCGGCTGAAACAAAATGCACGTAATTAAACCACTCAGACTACTGAGTAATATTCTTTGCTTCTCGTTTACAATTTATTCATTTATGAATTCGAAGTTTCTATCACTCAATTACGACAGTCTGTTCAATTTCATTCAGGAACAGAAACACAGCGAACCCGTCTATCATTCTCAAAATGCGCGGGTATAAGAAGAACAAACTCCGTTTCCAAATCGTGCTTTTTGACATAAGTTTTTAATTGATGGCCCGAGGAAACGGGATAAGTTGATGATAACACCAAGATAAGTTCAATGAGTGAAGCGGTATACGTAGACACTGACAATTTATCAAAAATAGCATTATTAGGTCCAAAAAACTTGCGCTCATACAGAATTTCTAATACTCTAAGTGCTCTAAGTCGAGAATATTTACAATTTTCTCTTTCAAAACTGTTCGGAACATTCTACATATATGAGCACATCAACAGTTGAAAATTGTTTCATTCTCAATTTGACAAGATACTGCAAACACCCGTTAACGAGAGGGCATCCACCATTTTTTAGAAAAGTCGACGATAAACTTGTCAAACGTGCACATTCACCATTTATAAAAATGAACCATAAGATCGTTGTCGGTAGTTCTATGTCTCATTAGGTTATATATATATACAGGGTGACTTTGAAGTTGAGTCATTAATTTTCAGATAATGATTGTAGAAGGAAGATATACCAAAATATGTGTGTAAAAATAAAAAAAAAATAAAAAAAAATTTTACCTTGTTTTATAAAGTATCCTCCCGACAAGTATTTCAGTGCGGACCTGTATTTGATCGTGAGGTCCCCTGTGAGATCTTAAGTCACCTGATTCACGAGCCCGTTGTACTACATTAACAAAGGCACGAGGGGTTGGTTGCACTCGATTGGGAAACCGATCCGCATAAACATGTGCCATTTTTTATTTCGTTTGAGCCACGCAACAGACACTATTCACACGCGACTGAAACTGACTGTATGTATAACTGAACTGAATTGTAATCGTAAAAACATCGTTCCAAATTCTTTCGCTTTTTTGTTTCCGATGCGATGAACCGTTGTTGCCAAACACGAACACATGATATTATTGAGACAGGGCGGTACTCAAACTTCCAAAGAGCTATAACTTTGTTACTTTAATTTTACCAGAAAAATGGTAAAGGAAAAAAACATTTCTTTTGATCAGATCTACACACTGTTAAAATAAATGACTCAACTTCGAAGTCACCCTGTATATATATATATATAATCGATTTTTAATAAATCGATTAGATTAGAAGCGATCAAGAGAGCACGAAACCATATTTTAGAAAAAGATAACAAAATTATCATTTTTACGAGTAAGCTCCCTAACTGAAAATCTATGACAATAAGTGTCTTCAGTTTTTTTGTGGTTTAAACTTGAAATTTAGTATTGTAGTTTCTAGACGGTAGGTTTTATTTTTTCATTTTCATTTTAGTCGATTGATAATTGGCACTGAGACTGAACATGTTTAGCAATAATTATTTTTGAGTTTTTTTAATGTTTTATTTGTTGCACTCAAGCGCGCCCCCACAGAAGTCTGAGATTTGTAATCTAACACCAATGTGTTACTTTCTGATACATCATCGCGACAGAGGCATACTAAGTATAAGTTATAACTATAGAAACTGAGCATTGCGATTTTTTTGGTATCCTTTGGTATTCCAATTTGACATCATTTACGTTTATACGATTTATACGTATATACGAATATTGTAACTTGTGAGTAATATATTAGCTATACAGATTGCACTTACAAAGTGATTTATGTTCTGTTTGTTGGTCAATAGTAATTTGAAAAGTGTGTAAAGCTTGAATGATTTTGTTCGGAGTTGGTGTTGCAGCGATACACTATGATAGAAGAACGAAATTGGAAATGGACATTTATAGGATCTGTTTAGTTGTGCGCCTGTGGCCTGTCCAGAAAATTCGTCGATCGATGCTCAAAGCTAATACCACACGTCCCGTATCTCTTCCCGCGTATGTGTCTATTTATGTTGTTACATTGAAGTCGTTTAAATCACAAAGCTTCTGCACTACACGTAAATATGTACAACCCTGTATTCCTGCGTTTCGTACAAACATACATTATCAAAATAATTACGATTCAACAGATATAGTTTTTTCCAACATCAAGATTTCCAACATTTTTACATGCGACCAACACCGAATCGAAAACTGAGAAAACCACCTACGCCGTAAAGCAACGAAGTCTGAAGAATAACTGTAACATCTATATTGAGTTTCAAAGAATAATTGACTATATACCTATTGATATTTTTATCACCTGCTGATATAATAGACGTGCTTTATTGTGTCAAAATTTGCACCAATTAGTAGTTGTTTAATGGGCAGTTTAGAGTCTTAATCTTTAAGCTTAGTTCACACTAGTAGACCCCGTTGCGCAATTTGTCTATAAGCAGTCTGGAGACGGTCTCAAGACACGTTCCATTGATGGTCTAGAGACATCCTTCTTTGTCTCGTCTAGCGTCTATACTATAATGTGAAGACGCTGTTTTGTGTGGAATGGACTGGGATATGTCTCGGGGTCGCTCAGACTGTTTTTTTTTTCGGTTAACAGAGCAATTGTATGTATTAATCTTCAATATTATTACACTAGTTAATTATAAATGCCACGTACGTATTTTGCTCTCACGTAATACAATTTTGCCTTTTTGAGGATTTCTGGGCATTTTCCATGATTTTTTTCAAGCTGGCATTGACCAGATAGAACTCAATATAATTGACAGCCCGCTTCAATGGATCGGACAAGCATCGCCAACCATATAGCCGTTTTATCAATCAGCGGAGTACTAAGTACTCAGCAAACTACTAGCTTTGAGGCACCAAAAGTTGCATAAACCCAACATAGGCTGAATAGGAACTGTTTCTTTTCCATCGCCGGTAGTACGGCGTTTGGATCACTATAATGCTGATTGTCAGTTATTCAACAGACCTCTTTTCGATTGTTTGCTTCCCGTTGTCTGTTTCCAATGACTAGACCATACTAATGCTTGCTAAACAAATAAAACAACGTTATATACAGTTGGCTATAGACGGAAAGCAAACGGATGCTATTCAGCCATCTTTAAAAGTGTCGAAGATCCGAATTTGAAACAAAAATGCGCCGCTGAGGCTCCCCGCCGGTTCCATCCTAACTGAATCGAATTTCGTACATCCAGAACTGGCAGATACGATCGCTCCTTTGTTCGCACGGTTTGGAGATTGTTTGTTTAACAATCTGCCTGAGAATGCTTTTTTCAGTTTTACTAACCTTAGGCAGTTCAAAAATTGGATTATGGTAAGAAAGAACACTTAGAGGTCTCTTGCATTTTTCAGGAGAACACGTATTTTTTCGAAAAATGGAAAAACCTAGATCCTACCGATTATTGACAGCACTTAGTTAACTTTGTATCATATAGAAAGTGAAATGAGAAAAATTGACCTTCATTAGATCTGAAAGAAAAATGAGAAAAATTGACCTCCATTAGACCAGAATATCGATTGACCCATATAGATTAGCCACATTTGTGTAATTAGGTTGCAGTACAGAACACATTTACTTTCCTTTTTCAAAGAGACACTGATCATAGTGTGTGATAGTTGCATGTGTGTAAAAAAAGTCAAAATTGCGCCATGACATGCGATCATACGCTGTGATACGAGGGAGACGCAAAGGTTTTGCAGTTGACGATATTACAGTTTCAAGTTTATTTTATCCATATCGTATACAAAAATGGTGCTCTGGAGATTCAATTAATCGTATTTCCGATTCTAATAAATCGGGTCAAATAGGTTAACAAAATCACACACGCTTTACTGGCATTTTTTCTACCTGGAGATTTATTTTTGTGCATCTGAGACAGTCAAAATATTATTTTTTTTTTATAAACACATCTAAAACTAGATTGTTATTATCGGCGGGAGACGATAATGGAATTTTTCCTGACAATTTTTATATTTCAAAGTATCCTATGAGAACATTTTTAAAAACCACTGTGTATCTGTAATCTGGAAACCAATATGCTTCTTGGCTAAATCGAGTGTATAGAATATGAATCATATCAATTGACTGACGGGAGCTCTGAATCGACCCATTTTATTTGAAGAAGAATGAGTAGATTCTAACGTAGCATCATGAATTTTCGGTGCTACAGTTAGCCTTACCCTGAGGTGAACTAGAAACTCTTCCATATTAATGCTGCCATCTCCATTGGTATCGAATTTGTTAAACAATTCTGTCGTTTCTTCTTCGGTTAGATCTATCCCACTTTCCTTCATTCCAGTAGAAAATTCTTCAAAATTCAAATTTTTACTGCCATCCTCATCCATTCTCCTAAAATATGCAATGAATTTAAACAAAAAAAAACACACATATATACTTAGATTTTAGTTTATTGTACAACGTAGATGCACAGACGTTTTATTTGTTTTATTCTTGTATTATTTCCTCATAAAACAAACAGCATGGCTCTCTATAGGTGTCAAAGTACCGTTTCTCGCATTTCAGGTCCATAAACAATGCACATGCAGCATTTGTAGTCGAAGATTGGATAACAATTAACCGGTGTGATACGACAATAGTTTTCAGAGGACTTTTGGCGTTTTCGGAACCATGGACGAGATTTACGTGCCTGGTACATTAAATAACGACAGATAAGCTCATGTTCGCTTGTCGCTTTGGGAGGCTAGACGTCCTTTTGGGAGCGGAAATGCCTACCCCAGGTGGTCCTAGTCCACGGCGGCCTTTTTTAAGTACAAAAGGAAAAGTGGTGGACGAAACGTAGTACAATAAACAAGAATTTAAGCATATGTGGTTTGATTCGGCCAGACAATGAAGTCCTATGAACATGAAAGTCACACGATAAGTTCCAGTAGTTACATCAGAGAGAAGTTATTGTAATCATTTGAAATGTCTTCCATAACTTTGTACAACAGCTTATACTACAAGAAAGCTTGAACCTCAACATAGCCACCCACTGTACTCTGGCATCCCAAAAGGATCTGGTAGACACTAGCGCTATCTATGAGACAGGAGTAAAACTCAAAAATGAATCTACAAATTTACTTTGAAAAGAGTTAGAGTGTTTGGTCCTGCTACTGCCTCATATATGTCGCTAGAATATCCAATCCATTTTTAGTGCCTCTCAAATGCTTATTGGATATGTTCATGTATTGATTAACGTAATTAAAATGGAGTCAAGTAGGTTGATTCTGCACTTTCCACGCACCGCTATCATCAGTTCAGAAAGGATTATATTTGGCCCAAGTTAGTCGCGTTGAGCTAGCTACAATATGTATAATAAGGAAAAAAATCCTCCATAGTCCCCATCCATTTGATAACGATATCGCTAGTTTGTTTCTTGCTCTGAGCATCGACCGACCGGCAACGCTGCTGAACCACTGCAGTCAAACACGTCATAAGCGCTACTATAACATGCTTGCTTGCGGGCCGGCGTCCGACGATCGGCGATGATGTCAGACGCAAGGTAGGGTTGGGCGTATGAAAGTCGCCGAAGCATCGCATTGTCCCGAAAAATCGGGTGTCTCGTCTATAAATATTTCTCATAAGGGTAAATATACGAGGAAATCTTTGATCTTTGATATACTCCCGCCAACAAAATGAGATATACCTTCCTTCACCCCCTACAACCCCCAATTTTCAACCCCTCCAAACATTTTTCTGAAAATATTCAGGTGCCTCTAAAACTACAAGAAACGAAGTATGAAAAAATATTTTTTCATGTTTTTGCCCCTAACTCCACCGCCACTAAACTGATTGTCAAAAACTACAAAGCCTTTTGGTCCTTGGCATAATAGTCACCTTGTCTTAAAATTTTACCCAAATCCTAGCGGTACATCTCTAGTTATAGGCGGTCATTCGCGGCTATAGGATTAGTGGACAGACAGTCAGAGGGAACTGATTGGCATGGTTTTTTGTGATGTACATCCAAAAAATACAATATCTCATTTACGAAGTTTATCCCGACTATAATACTTCTTCTCCAGAAGGCGTGGGATGTCAAAGGAATAGAAGATCCTAGCGCCATCTGTCAGACAGTAGCTGTATAAAAATAGATTTCTAAACATTCTTTTTAGTCACATAGATGGCGCTAGTATCTTTTAGATTCCTTCTTAACACCGGAATACAGCAAATGGCTGGATATCTTCAGGTTAGAATACGTTAATCGATGGTAATAAGAACACAATTTTATCTCAAACTTCTCTCACATCAACTAAACATCAAACAAAATTTCAAGGATCAGGCTTTCAGTTTTTCAATCACAAGTTAACTTTCGAGTTAGGTAAATATTACTTTGAGGTTAACTATGAGTTTCCCGAAAATTTATTTTTCAATTTCAGGTTAACCTGTAATCGCTGTTGCAGCAACGCTGCATCTACGCCTAAACTATCGTGTTCTGAGCACTTTGTGATGCTCGATATTCGTGTCACGTGTCATCCGTGACAATTCACGTCACTATCAAGCAAAATTGCGGTTTAACTGCAACTTTCAATTTCACCTATACCTAGTCTTCTAGTTAACGTTAACTACTGCTTAGGGCAAACTTGACATTGAAAAACGCTCATCGAAGTTCAACTTCCGGTTAGCAGTGAATCTGCAGTCAACCTGTGGTTGAAAAACTGGGTTTTAAGGTTTATTTTCCTGATATTGCTGTAAATATCTACTTGTTACTACTGGTGAAAAAATAGTACCTGAACATTCTGCCTAGTCCTAAAATTCCAGTTGCACCTCTTGAAAGGCACATGTGTCTCAACCTTTCAATAGGTTCTAAAGGTTTTCCAGACTGCAGCTCACGTAGGCTTTTTGAGGCCAATTCGGCCTCTTGTCTGAAGGTGCCACTTTGAGGACGGAACATTCTGCAAAGAAAGACTCAATTTTTACAAATGCAGCTAATGTGGTATAACAGAAGCAATGTGCGCAAGTAGCTAAAAATCTGACGATCGCCCTCTACCAATGGTTTTCTAAGCTTAGTTCCATCCTAATCCCACACGATGAAGACGACAGAGAGACCCAACGTCATCTGGCTCATAACCGCTCGACGTGCTGCGCTATGCACAGAGATGTCGCTCCCCATCACCGTCATGATCAACTGTCAAGTGATCGGAACACTAAGTATTTACAGAGCATCACAGCAATGGGTTTTTATGCAGAAATAGATGTGTTTGCTTTCTGTCTCTGTAACTATAACCAACCGCAGACAACGCTGCTCATTAGCAGCTCATCAGGGCGGTATAGGTCTTAAGCCTAGTCGTGGTGATAGACATCGTGGGTGGAAACAGTGCTGTCTGCCATGGGTGCCCATATAGCAAGATTAAAGGGAGGCACAGAATTCATGTTCAATATGATCCTTTCTGGTGAGGGGGGAGGTGGATGTCAGCGATATAAAATCAAGTGGTATTTAATTTAATAAGAAATTAACGTTCAATTCCTTTTTGGAAGGGGTCTCTAGATTGATTTATCTTGACACCGTGAGTAACATTGGGTAAAATTGAAATTAAATGAATTGATGGATTTTGACATTGAGGATAATCATGACTTAAAGAAAGAATCATGTTCTTTCTGGACTACATTTGCGTTTGGTTGCACCTCCGAGAACTAGTACTTAGCATCTTACCTATTTAGACAAGTACTTTGCTTCTAGACTTGTTTGGACACTGGGTGATATTGGATATATACTAAAATTTTATAAAAGCTAACTGGTGAATTTTCATCGAATATTTCAACTTTGAATTTACTATTCTACGAGCTTAGGAGGCTTAATGAATCTTGACATATGATATGTATCTAGATTTGTCTGGACAGTGTGAGTAGCACTGGGTTTTCTAAAAAATTTTAAAATAGAAATGGTGAATTTTAAACGCTACTTTAACTAACTATTTTACGGACTACAGCCCAAACAGCTTAATGGATTTTAACATTTGAGGTATCCTTAGATTCGTCTTGACAGCACAATTGATTCATCACTGTTTTCAGTTTCAGTTCATTTGTTTCTATTTTTTATAAATGTACATGACTCTTTATACGCCTGAGCATCAATGGGGCGGGGGGAGGTTGCGGCACATCTCGGCAATTCAGATCAAGCAAGGTAATTTTCGTGGACCCTATAAGGCATATTTTACTTATCAAACTAAAGCCAATGGGGCATATGTCTCCTTACTACCTGTGGCTGGTCATGGTTACAGAAAAACATGTCCATTACAGAATAAAACAAATGTTGGAGTTGAAACTCATGCCTGCAGGACACCCATGTTGATATTGGGGGGTCATCAAGCCTAAACTATAACCGAAAAGAAAGTTTAACATCAAGAGTATACATAAGTTCAATTGACAGCACCAAAGACGCCAGGGAGTAATTCAAGCCTAGTTGCTTGTAAGATATCGTCGGACTTTAGACGATCTTGCAGCGAAGCAGTATAGGTCTCATCAGTATGGGCACCTAGGGCAAGGCTGCTGAACCCAATACCCGCAGTCCACAGTGTGATCCACGGACGAATTTTGAATGGCCCGCACAAGAAAATTATAAAATGCACATGAAGAGGCAAATATTGTTCCAAATATTTTCATATTGATGAGGGAATTCAAAGCATAAAATCTCTTTTCGATTAACTTATCCACCGAAAACATTGACCTCTTTCCCACACTAAAACATATTGCTACCGTCAGTTGTTCCAAGTACGAATCTCAAATCAAGTCGTTTGAGAGTAAATTTCAATAATTTGACAGTGAAAAACAAAATATGAAGAACTTTGTGAATCCTTTCATAATCATCTGTTTGAAATAATTAGTCACCCTGCCAATATTCAATTGGAACATACTGAACATCAACATCATCATTTAAAAATCTTTTTGTCAAAAAATTTTCTCCGAAACTACAAAATTCTTTAGAAGTTTTTTAGATTTCTGGAAAGTGGTACTAAAAGAAGACTCCGGCAATAACTGACTTGCGCTACAGTTCTTAGGTAGTTTCGGATCATCATACATGTCCGTGAAAAGATTTTTCAAACCTTAATTATGTAAAAATAGATCCCGCATATCATTAACTGAGCAACTCGTTTGTGACTTGTTATAGTTAACATGACATTTAACGCCTAAAATAAGAAAAATTATTACAACAGAAACAATATCAGACTGACCAGACTATAAAAAAAGTTTACAAGCCTCTTGGCCTAGGGCCTAGGGGATACGTGATAATGAGATGAAATGCAAACATGAAGATTCTTGTCCCCGCACTGACACTCAAATTAACCCCATACGGAAAAGTGCATTTAAAATCAGTAGTCTCTGAGGCAAGAAAATGTCTCCGGACATATATCCATCTTTGGAAATGAATGCCTTGTTTAGGCTTCTAATTAGTCACAAAACGCGAGCTATGAGACGATGAAAAAACATCTTCCGTCCACATTGTATGTTGCTGTCAGATCTAAGGGAAGCATATGCAGACTACATAGTGTCTGGTCTGCTGGAACAAGAAGCTATATGATGGACTCGATCCAGGGCTACCTTTGCTTTCACGAAAAAGTCGGTCTTGGTAACCAACACCGATAAACGCACAAAAAAGCCCAAAATGTGGCGTCTAATCTGGTGAGCATTAACATCTAACAGTCTCGTCCATTTGTCAACAAATTCACTCATAGCATGAAAGTTTCATTGAAATGCCAAATTCGAACAATCGAGAAAAATAATAAGCAACTTACATTGACGAGAAAAACAGAATGATTCACTTACTGCATAAAGTATTGTGGCAGCCTGTAGAATGTACGCGTACCGTACCTAACGCAATAATGATTCATAAAATTATTATATACGGGTATAAATATGGAAGGAAACCGTCTCGCAAGCTGACTTGTATCGAGGCTAAGATCGTAAAGATTCAGTATCAGGGCCACCTATGGAGCTTAAAAAATCATCGCAATTTTACAGGATTTATTAATTCATGCTGTGCATTCAATTGAACCACGGAAAATGATTTTTGGAAAAATACCCTTACAGTGTTAAATTTAAAATTAATATAAAGGTTGGATGCATAGTTATTATAAAACAACATTTTTGGCTTTACCTCTGACCAATGCTTCTAATGGGTGACGGGTGTATAAAAAGCATAATTTGTCAGAATTTTTTGCAAAAATGGTGTATGCATACACGTAACATGTTACGTTTAAACTTGATGCTGAGGTGATCCAGCTCCATTTTTCCTCGATATATCTAATATGTAATATTATAAATGTAAAACCATGCATGTATGTTCCATATTCACGCCAAAATGGCTAAATCGCATTCGATGAATTTTTGCACATATATAGATTAGTCGGAATCGGATATAGGCTACCCTTTATTGCGAAGATAAAACTTTAGGGGTTGAAATATGGGGTAAAAGTGGCTATTATTTTCTAAGTTAGGGATACAAATATGTGTTTTTTATATTTGGCACTTTGATATAATCTAAATGAGCAGATTCAAAGTCATTTTGGAAATTATACCCCTAAGAGATGAAGTGGGAGTTAACATCCTTGAAGCTGAAAAACGTTGAATATTTCAAATTAGGCCAGCCTAGAAGTGGGAGTATATTTGATCTATAATTCCATTTATAAAATGAAAAACAGAAAAAATAATTCCAGAAATTATATCCTCAAGATGGCGTAGCAGTGGGTTGAATATTTACTTTATTGCTGTTCATGTTGAATTTATAAGAATATATGTCGAAAACTATTTGACTTGTGAACATGAAATTTCGCAGGGAGGAACTTTATGTACAGGGTAGGTCAGCTCATAACGAATTTTGCGACAGGACTGAATTGAGGGTGACTATAGGCAGATATAAATAAATTCGTAATTATCTGAATATGAGTATGACATTTGGAAGGGAGGTAGTTTATGGTCAGGACACGTCAGTTAGGAACAAGTAAAATAAAACTCATAAAGATAACCTTAAAATTTGGCAGGTTTATTAAATTTTAGCCACTTCTATCGAATGAGTGCTAGTTTGTAAGTCTATTGATTGTAATATGGAAAATAAGTAATAAGTCTTAGAAGCTCTAAGAGATACGAAGCCGCTTAAATGGGGACAAAGTTACGTATTCAAGTAATTAAGAAATTTGGCGCTTAGAAAGTTTCGAAATTCAAAGCACTGGATGGAGACGGAGTTTTTTCTTGACATTATTTGTACCGGGATTTCAAAATAAATTGCACATTAACGTTACCACTTTTTCTCCTCTACAAGATAGCATAATTAGAATTTCAATATGACGTTTCGTATCTTGTCCTCCAACATCAACTTTATTTTTTATCATAGACACCATATTGGATTGTTACACGGATGAATAGAGTTTTTAATTCTGATTCCAAAATTGTATAAATATTATTGATATTGCCAAGCCTTAGTTATTTCGAATAAGTAGAATTTCTTAGGTAGGCCTTGAAATTATCAGATAGTCATTTGTTTTGCAAACCAGATTTATCCCAAAATAATTTTTATTTTTTCCTGACTTTATTTGAGATGGGATTTCAAAATAAAATGCATTTTGTCGTTGTTACTTATTATCCTCGACAAGATGGCGTAGCATAATTTTTAATTCGTGTTTCCTTCTTTCGACTTCCATCACCAACTTTTGTTAGTGAGCGATTTACTTTAAAATCCCACTTACAATAAAGTTAAGAAAAGTTAAAACGATTTTGGGAAAATTCGGTTTCTTCTGTCTCTCTCCGAAAGTACTTTACCGTCCGACCTCCATGGTGAAGGTCGAATTTGAGACACCCGGCATAGAAATAAATAACGCACATAAATTTTTCAAAGTAACAGATTGAAAAAACGTAAAATGGCTAAAATTCAATAATCATTCTAAGTTCGAAAGTTTTTTCT